TAATCTATCCATTCAGTGAGCATTTATGTATTGCTTGCTCCACACTCTGGGAATATAGCTTATAGCCACAGCGAGGACCCACAATCTGGAAAGGGAGCAAGGGATTGTAATGCATCAATTAGGAATGTCAGTGTTCTGTGGATGCTGCAGTTGAAAATGAGGCCAGGTAGGAGAGAAAGCTGTTTAGGAAGACCTGGCAGAGCATCAGGAATTGCAAGCTCTACCTGTAATTAATTGTAAAGCCTGCAAGGTAAAGGTGTATATGTTAGTGAAAGGAAATCTGATCTAAAAGAAAAGGCAATGTGTGTGTGGCAGGGAGGGGACTATGCTGAGAACAGAACCTGCAGATCAGGGATCTGGATTCAATCCCAAGTAGAAAATCCCTCATAACCCATATTGCTGCTGGCACACAATCCATTAAAGAGTAATATCCAGACTGTAGTTTATTCTGGACCCTACTCTGATGTCTAAGGAGGATTTCAAAAGCTAATCAGGGGATTGAGGATATGTTGCTAAGTTAGAATGATTTCTTAGTGTATGAAGAGCCCTGGATTCATTCCCTTCCTAGCCCCACATAATGTGGGAATAGTGAAACTATGCATGAATACAATCACAACACTTGAGAAGTAGATGCACAAGGACCAGGAGTTCAAGGCCATCCTTGTCTACATAGTGAGTTCAAGTCTATATTATGCTACATAAAAAATTTACACATAAAAAATTGCCAAATTACCATGTGCTATGAGTTAAATTATATATATATCTTGGGAGGCAAGGCTGTCTGAGGAGGTTATCTCTGAGATGGAGAGCAGTGGAACGCCCCAAAAAACCTGATTTTTCTCAGCCTGAATGTCAGAAACGTTCAAGAGCAGACAGGATAGGTTGTCTGTTGCACAGCTCCCAGTTAACCAAGTATATGCTTCTGTCATATGACAATAAGGTGTATCATGCATCATGTTCACCATGGGCTAGAAATTATAAATCCATGATGTGTGACTCAGTGCCCTCTGTTGTTTCTGGTCCTGGATAGTTATGAATGTAGCTCAACATAAAATTATAGATGTACTCAGTGTTGTGAGATAATTTTGTGATTTTTTTTCATAAGTCAGTTGTGTGGTTTTTAGATGTAAACGTTGTAGGAGGTAGTGTCCTCTTTTGTCTTAATGCCAAAAGTGAGGGTCAAATGGCTATACCATTCAGGCTCGTAACCCTGTGAGGTGAGAAATTATTATCCTATGATACAACTGAAGAAAATGAGGCTCAGAAATCTACAATAGCTGTGTGTGGTGGTATGAATGTAAATATCCTCTATAGGCTCCTGTCTTTGAACACTTGGCCCTCAGTTGGTGGTACTGTTTGGGTAGGGTTAGGGAAGTGGCCATGCTGTGTCTCACTGGGCACACGCTTTGAAGTTTTGGAGCATCCTGCCATTCTAAGGATTCTGGTTCTGCTTAAGGCTTTTGTTCCAAAATGAGAGTTCTTGCCTTATGCTCCAACCACCTGAGCTCTGATCTATCATCATGGACTATTGTCCCTCTGGAAACAGAATCTAGAATAAACTCTTCATTCCTTAAGTTGCCTTAGTTATGACCTATCACCTTGACACAAAGGTCATTAATACACCAGGTAGCCCATGAGAACGGAGCCAGTATTTGAGAACTTGAGCACAGAGCAGCCTGGAGCTGCAGTGTTCTCTCTCTCAGTGACCTGGCCCTGTTGTCAAGCTCAGAGGATAGGGAGAGGGTGTATCAGCTGGACACAGGGAGCACTTGTGGTCATACAAGAAGCCCTGGATTACAACAAAACAAAACAAAGCAAAACTGTTGATTAGGAATGTTATCACCGGGTGTGTTGAGTCAACAGTGAAAGCAGCATATGGCAACACAAAGAGTGTCTGAATGGGTGTAGAGGTCTGCCAATAGAAGCCAGGTCTCTGGGTATCTTGACTGATTCATTGCTTTCCATGCACTGACTTTTTGGGAGAAAGTGCAATTCTGGATCCCTTACAACAGATTCTGTCCTTTATTTCTGCTAGGATGTTAATTGTCTAAGTGCTCTTTGCTTATGGTTTTCTCTGATACACCACAGGCTGAGGATGTCTTAAATGTTTAGGACCAAAAGTCTTTCACATTTCGGTATCGTTTGAACACTCTTAATCTGAAGATCTGAAATCTAATATCTTTTAATGCCATGAATTACAGAGAATAGCTTAAGTTGAAATGGAATCATGTCAAAATTATTATCAATAAAATATAAAGTAACAATGCATGGTATTTACTGGAAAGTATTTTAAAAACACTTATATGATGAAGTTTTGGGTTGTTTTTATGACACAACATTTATCTCTGTATTCAAGGATGCTCTGTAACTCCCTATATAGCCCAGGCTAGCCTCAATATTTTTACACAATATAGGTTTCATGGTATTTTTCACACACCTCCTTGCAAAGAATCTTCCTTGTGCTTATTCTCTTTTTTTCCTAGATACCTGTAACAATTTAAAAATGTGCTTGAGTGATTAAGTTCCATGAATTCTGTTGAGAAGTTATTTAAAAGGGCTTATTAATCAGGAGAAAGAAGCAATAGTAATTGGATTTGAAAATTTAAAACAAAGAATTAACTCCTATGTTAGGACTTACCATCAATAAAACCAAATACCCAATGTTTTATTTGGCTGGGGGATATCTACTTAGGGGTAGGATAGAATATTTATACTTAAGATACTACAGTAAATTAGCCTTTCCTATCTCATGATGTTTTGAGATTGAGCCATTCTTGCTTACTAAATGTTACAAACATGTCACGTTGAATGGTATAGTAGATGAAACAGATTAGATATCTGTGAAAAAAATCCAAAGGTGGTGACAGCCATACACTTATGTGGGTAAGGTATGGTTATGGCTAGGCAATTCAAGAGATGGTTGTGCTTAAGTTTAGGATGAAGTACATGAATGTGTGAAATACACAGTGTAAGGCACAAGCCCATGTGATTAAAGCACAATAAATTACTTCTCAGGGATTGTCAAAAGTCCACCATGGTGGCATACACCCATTCTCTCAACCACTTGAGAGGCTGAGGCAAGAGTATTTCTTGAGCCCAGGAGTACAAAAGCTAGTTCTAGGTATCATAGAGAGACTCAAAAAATTTTTAAATACTTTCCAGATATCGAATTGTGTAACCACAGAAAATGCATGAGCAGATTATCCATGTTGATACCAAATTCAAAGAGAGCTTTCTCAGAAACACAATGAATCACATGGTTGTGAATTCTGGAATTCAATCATTTTCCCAGAAGATGAGCTGCAGTCTTTGATCTGATAAACTTTTCTTACTGCCATTCTTGAGACAAAAGTTTTCTTGATGATGCTGCTGCCATTCTTGGTCAAAAGTGTCTCAATAATCATGGAAAAAGAAAGGTTAGAAAGTTATGTTTAGACGTTGCTATTCAAGATGTTTTCTTACAAATTTAAAATGATAACAATGGTAGAACATTGTCAAGAGTCACTGGGACTAAAAGTCTGCCTGTTGCTGCAACATGATGACTAGTACTAGTTTAAAGTGCCAAAGGAGTTAACATGCAGGGCAGGGGTGGGGATGGGGGAGATGGAGACTGGATTCAGTGGTTGTCACTACAATTTTCACATCTAGCTTCCTATCAGAAAGCAGAGTGATCTATAATTTTTACTATTTTATTACTTTCCTGTGATAATTTATTTGATCTTTTTTAGTATTGTCAATGAGAATTATCTTTAGCACACACTACAACTTTTTCCCATTGGTAAGAAAGGAATAATATGAAATAAATCTGTATTGTGGCATTAATTATTGAATTTCTTATCATTTTTGTTCAGTTGAGTATGAGTTATATTTAATGTAGGATTAATAATACAAATGAACTCATAAAGAATGTGAAGCAGAGCTCACCATTTGGGCTAATCTAGCTAGGGAACCCCCTGTGTTTGTCTCCTGCATATTTGACTTACAGGTGGGCTGCCTAGCCAACCAGGCATTTCCCTGAATAGTATGGATCTGAACTGTAGTATTCATACTTGTATGATAAGCATAGGGTATGACCTCAGGCCAACACTAGTACGTTTTATGCTTGTTCTTTTTTAAAATTTTTATTTATATTACTTACATGTATATGTGTATGTATGTTCATATATCTGAATGTATGCCGCATGAGTTCAGTGCCCACAGAGGTCAGAAGAGGGCATTGTATCCCCTGGAGCTAGAGTTACAGGTGGTTTTGAGCGACCATGTGACTTGGAACCCAGCCTCAGTCTTCTGCAAGAGCAGCCAAGGCTCATAACTGAGAAGCCGTCTCTCCAACCCCCTATACTTTTGTTCCTTTTATCTTTAAATTGGACTTGTCAGCACCACTCCTGGAGTTGGAAGAATGTCAGAGGGCAGAGGAGATTAATTCCAATCCTAATAACATCAGAAATAAAAAAAAAAGAGAGAGGTTCTGACGCTAACAAACTCCAGCAATAAAAACAACAGCACAAGCTGCGGGCTTTGAGTGAGGGCAGATGCACCCTAAGCCTCAGTGTCTTTAACAACCCTAATTATTTAAGTAAGTTACACATTACCAGTAGAAACATTGCAAACCCCAGACGGGCACTCCATAACCTCTGGTGTTTGTGAGCTGGGACATTACGTGACCGCACAAACCTATCTCATAGTTGCTCCATTTTGCCCATTTTTACACTGGATAGTAAGAGGGCTTTTAGTCGTGGAGACCCTTGGACTGTTGGTTCCAGTGGATAAAAAGACTCTTAGAGGTGGGTGCACCTTCCAGTCCACTGTTTCACAGTTGATGACAGAATTTAAACTATCTAGACAAAGCTCCCAGGCTGGCTCTTTCTGTTTTAAGAAGGGAGGAATGACAGCTTGAAGACCCAAGTCCCTTCTGTGAAAACATCCTTTGAGGTCTCTTTATTCTGTTCTGGTGGATATTTTGCTTACGTTTGTTTTGTATCTTGAATTTCATTTTCCAGGCACTTTGGAAAGGCATGAGACAGGAGAAAGGGCAAGGATTATTCTTAACTGTGGTGACAATGTGCAGCTTGTCAGATCTGAGCCTACACTGTCAGTGGCCTCAGAGACACACAAGCACAAAAATGTAGAGCAGAGGTCCTCCAGTGGCCACCAGCCCGGGCTGGTGCCCTGCCCTGGTCTGCAACTGGAGTCTTCATGTAAGGTGAGTCCACATGTCCAGGGTAACAAGACCATAGCAATTGGGGTAAGAAGCAACATGACCTTAACCTGTCAGTGCAAAAGCAGGGAAGCAGGTGATGGCATTGGCCCAGTGATGTTGGTGGAACAGGATGGGGGAATTTAACTCTGAAGTGACTGTTATCCTTGCAATGACATATGTGACAATAGAGTTTCCAGCTTATCAAAAATTAAGTTACTGTTTCATCAACTCAAAATTAAAAGTGCTTCTCAATGGTGGTGATTATATTCTGTAGTTTGGATCCATTTTTAATTCTTGAGTTGAATGCATTAGTATCTCTTACTTCTGCTTGCTTCTTATTAAACTAGCTTTATTATTTTTCTTTTCTATACAAGCTCTAGTGATTTAATGTAGTTTTTTAAAGATATTATATTTTATTATTGCTCTTCATGCTATCGTATTATCATCTTTATTTTTGCCATTTGTATGGATGAACCTTGTATTTTTCATGTAAATATCTTCTCGATAATAGTATCTAATATGGCCGGGCATTGGTGGCATCCCAGCATTCGGGAGGCAGAAGCAGGCAGATCTCAGTGAGTTTGAGGCCAGCCTGGTCTACAGAGCGAGTTCCAGGACAGTCTCCAAAACAATACAGAGTAACCCTGTCCTTAAAAACCAAACAAACAAGGTTCATCCATACAAATAAGAAGAGGGCATCAAATCGCTTGGAAATGGAGTGACAGGTAGTTGTGAGCTGCCATGTGGGTGCCAGGAATTGAACCTTGGTCCTCTGGAAGAGCAGCCAGTGCTCTTAAACCCTGAGCCAACTTTCCAGGCCTAGCTGTTAGCATTCCTAACATGAAAACAGGCTGTCTGTAAAGGATACTTAGATAGCTGAGATAAAATTCTAGTTGGATCATATACACGTTTGGATCAAAAAGGCTCAGTTATTGAGCCTAGCTGGCTGCTCATTCCCATTCTTGTGCAGATTCCTTGCTGCCTGTTGTAGTGGAGTGTGCATTATAGAGTAGAAAGAATGTGCTGGAGAGGGCAATGTGGGGTGAATTTGAGTAGGGTGCTAGATACCTGTATCTGAAAGTGTCAATATGAAATGTACCATATTGTACAATAAACATACACAATAGTGGATAGGGAATCTTCTAGAATGGTAGATAAGAGCTAGGTGTCTGTTGACTTGTGTGATTCTGAGGTAGAGTTGGAAGGTCTGTAGAAAAAATATCACTTTCACTAGGTGCCAGTTTTTCTGCACTGACTACTGGTTCTTTCTGAAGCTCCCAGTTACCCTTTATGTAGTGGTAACAGTGTGTACACATTTCATTTTCTGTATATAATTTTGTTTCATGACTTCAAGAAGCAATAAACTGCCCTGGTCTTGTCTTCCGACTTGTAGGTTGATTTCCACTCTATTTTGTAGTTGTTGCCCTTTACCTGAGCAGACTACGATTTCCAGTCTCTGTTCTTTGTAGTGGAGAAGTGAAGGAGACAGAGGAGTCACCTCTGTCCCCTGTATGCTCCTGTTGTTACCAGATTTGGTGTGGCTGTGGGTGTTTGTAGTTTTGCTTCTCTGTTCCACTTTTGTTACATATGAGATGTCCTCATTGTCCTCAGTCTGTGATTCATATATTATTTTAGGATTTTCTTAAAGCCAGGGTTCTGAGATAGTTTATTTTTGTTATTTACTTGTTTGTTTGTTTGTTTATTTATTTATCATTTTGTTTTCAAGACAGGGTTTCTCTGTGTAGCCCTGGCTGTCCTGGAACTCACTTTGTAGACCAGGCTGGCCTTGAACTCTTCAAAGATCCACCGGCCTCTGCTTCCTGAGTGCTAGGATTAAAGGCTCCCACTACCATCGCCCGGCAAGACTGTTTTATTTTAAAGTATGAGATTTCAAAGGTAAGCTGCATGTTATTGATCTATGTTTCTGTGCACGTGACATGTATGTGAGAATGTGGGCACATATGTCATGGTGGCCATGCAGATGTGGGAGAGCAGCTTCAGGTGCTGCTCTTGCCGCCGATAGGGCTTGATATGAAGTCTTTTTATTGCCCACTGTCATATAAGCCATCCAGGGTAGATGTCCTGCAAGCTTCAGGGACTCTCCTATTCTCCTCTCTGCCTCTCTTCTCACTGTAGGAGCACTGTGATCACATTGTCTGATATTGTGCTCAGCCTTTCTAAGGATTCTGGGGACTCAAACTCAGTTCTTCATATTTGTAACCGCTCTCTCTACCGAGTCATCTTCCTCGCCCATAAGTGGTAAATACGGTAAATGCTTCACGGGTTTCATAAAGAAAAACATCTTCAAAGAGAGTGTGAATCACAGACATTTTGTAAGTGGGGGAAATGAGGGACAACAAGACTATGAGATTTTAACCATAACACTGACACAGCCACACCAACACAGGCACAGATACAAAACAATCTGTGTCTGTGTTGGTGTGGCTGTGTCAGTGTTAATGAGGCACAGGCAAACTACTGAGTAGCAATAGGACAGACAATTTATTTATTTATTTATTTTTTGGTTTTTACGAGACAGGGTTTCTCTGTATTGTTTTGGAGGCTATTGGTCCAGCCCAGCCTCGAACTCACAGAGATCCGCCTGCCTCTGCCTCCCGAGTGCTGGGATTAAAGGCGTGTGCCACCACCGCCCGGCATGACAATTTAGACAGAACAAAACATTTAGAACTCAATGTTGGCCAATATTTGATGCTTCTAGAATATTCTATTCAGTTTTTCTTCATGCATTTGGGGAGTACATAAAAATGGGGGAGCAGGTTATGAAGAGAGTAAAATATGTCATAAGATCATTTTTAGAATATATCCACTTTGAATTTCTGGAGGAGCTGAATTTCTGCTGCTCTACAAAGAAAGATCTTTGGGATGAGAGGAGGGGAGTCGAAGTCTTAAAGGATTTACAGGATACAATACTGTGTTGGCTTTCCTTAGATCGAGCAGAGGATAAAGCAGGATAGAATCTATTTAAATAGCAGTGGGAGAAATTTAGCTTTGAGGTAGGGATTTAACAACTGGGCTAAAATCATTGCTACATGACAGGATCTTTGCTGCTACACTGTATTTTAAAGAGAAAAGTCCCATTTTGTTCATTGGTTAGCTGGTTCATTTTTGGTGTGTGTGTGTGTGTGTGTGTGTGTGTGTGTGTGTGTGTTTTCAATTCTTTACTGTGCTTCTTACCCATAAGATGGGTAAAGGGATTGTTTTAATGCCACAGCTTATTCATTTGCAGTGTCTGAGAAGGACTCTGCTGAACTGTTGCTCACTAGCTCCCTGATTGCTTGCTAGCTTAGAAATGTTCCGTCTGATGCAGTGACATTAAAATAAATACAGGACAGCTCGAGTTGGTGTTTGAAATAAGACCAGAACAAAATGTTAAATATGTGCATTTAAAATATGAGATTAAATTAAAATTATTCAAAGTAATTTCATCCACTTTCTGTTTGTGTTGTTTTAAGATGTCTAGTGGGCATTTTTAAAACTATAAACATTATTTGCATTTTATTTATTGAAGACAATGATGACAATGATAAAGGTTATATGAATCTTTCAGTAAAAATAAGGGAATGACTGTTTTAGGGTCACTGCTCAGATTTCTGCCTATTCAGCTCTGCTGTTGAACACAGGGGTAACCATGAAGTACCAGGGAGACTTTACCTTACAGCAGCCCAGATGTGATATACTGGCTATAGTCTTCTGGTCTATGGTCTAATAGTTCTCTTTGCCCTGGAAGGTGGGGACGTAACAGGAGGACCTGGCAAAAGTATCTGTAACTCCCCTTTTATCCATGTCTGAAATTTTAATAAAGCCATTTATCTTAATTTCATATGTGTTTTGTATGTGTGCATACAAGTGTATATGATGGAATGCAAACTAGAATAGTTTGTGCATTATATTCTACTATTCTATTATTATATAGAAATTATATGTGCCGGGGACACCATCCTTTATAAAATAAATAAATGAATAAACAAACAAAACCACAAAAAACCCAACAACCACAAAACACCCCGCAAATTAAGATTTCAGCGTGCAATCAAGTATTTGTGTGTGTGTGTGTGTGTGTGTAATAAAAGTCAAGAGCAAACATAGCCCATTACAGGAAACTTATGGTATTCAAGCACTTATCCTATATCCTTGCTTAGCCATTGTCCCAAGAAGATGCAGGGACCTTTGTTTCAATTTTGGGGCATATCGCCCAAATGATCAGAGTTATTAACTGCCAGTGAGCCATGCAGAGAGTGAGCCAGTGGAGCGAATCTTCCTTCCTGAAGAGGAATCTAAGCAGTGCCTGGCTCCACGTCACCCTATGAGCTCCTGGAGCACACACTTGCCCATGTTTGACACCCTTAAAATTGTCTCCCTGACAACTAAAGTCTCCCGTGTCTCTTCAGAGATGAAGAGGTGAACTTTACTGCCACATGCCACACTGTCTTCATGTGTTCATAGGTGACTCTGCTTTGTGTGTGGATGTGATTGTGTATGTGCACACATGTTTGTAAGTATACCTGCATATGTGCATTCTTGCCTTTGGAGGTCAGGGGTTGAGGGCAGGTGTTTTCCTCCATTACTCCCCACCATGTTTTTGATATAAGGGTTTTAATGAACGTGGATCTTACCAATTTGGCTAGACTGACCAGTGAGCCCTGGGGATCCTCTTGTCTCTGCCTCCCTAGCACTAGGATTATAGGTGCACATTGCCTCACCCACTTTTTTATGTGGGTGCTGGGGTAAAATTCAGCTCCTTTGGCCAGGCATGATAGTACATGCTGTTACATCCAGCACTAAGGAGACTAAGGCAGGTAGATCTCTTCAATTTGGGGCCATCTTGTGCTATATAGTGAGTTACAGGTATGTCAACGGATGTATAGTGAGATGCTTCTCAAAAAAAATTTTTAATGCTTACAGGATAAGTACTTGACTGAATGGCCATCTTTCCCAACTTCCATTTCCAAGTTTTAAATAGTGATTAAATACTGATTAAAACA